GAGGCTAACACAAATGAGAGATCTTGGTTTCTTGCCTGAGACTGAGGAAGGATAAAAAGAGCTGACTTTTTGTTCCAGGGCAGTTTTGTTCTTTGAGACTGGTGAAGGTTATACCCGGGTTCCAGAGAAAGAGTGTAGTACTGTTTACAGTGTGCAGGAAACAAGAGTTCCAAGCAAAGCATTGTTCTGGTTTCCACGTTAGCTGTCTGTGGGGACAGATTCAAGTGGAAATTTATTTTTTCTACCACACAAAAACCTAAATTTTTTAATTTATCATTCAGTTTAGTAATCATTTAGTTTAGTAATCATTAAATTGACTAATTTTCATCAAATCCTATATTTTAGTAATGGTTATATTATTTTTGAAAGAGTTTAAATTTTTCAGTTGATAAACCAATCATAATTAATATTGGATGGCAAAAATTGGCATAAAATGTCTAAAACCTATCTTAAGTGTGCAAAAGTATTTCTTGATTTTTTACAAGTATCTTTTCTTGCAAGTAAATCTTAATTGAGGATATTTAAATTACAGGAATATTTTTTTAAAGTTATAAAATGTCTATAATCATTTTTTTCCCTTAATAAAATTATAAAATAAATCTTCCACTCTATTGATGACCAACTTCACATACTGTGAATTAAAAATAGTCTGTGGTGGTAACACAACGACTCAACTGATAGTAGCAGATAGGAAAAAACTGCAAGGAGGGTAACCAACAAAACAGTGTCGTATGTCCAACCTTCTCACGAGTAAAAAACCCAGTGATCAGAAACAAAAACGCGTCTGATTTATACAGCCGAGGACCGATCACGATTTGCATGCGAATGACGAGACAACGAGATTTCGCGTTAACTGAGACCGCCTGGCATAAACATGGGCACCGCCATTTTGGTTCCTTTTACCGTTGAGCAAACCAGAGTTTGCACATCGCACAGATTCGCAGGCATTTCCGAGGTAGGCCATTTTCACAATTTTCTCCACATAGTCTAAAGCTTCGAATACACTAAATTAATTTAGTGTGGATTTAGGGCTAAGAGATCCATGATTAACAAGATCCACTCTCTATGTCAGCTTTAACAAAAATGTTATGAATAACAGATGCCACTATACATTGCTTTCATCATTCTCTTTTAAAGCTATTCAACCTTGTTAGCAAGAAAGTTTTGTTTCAGCTACTAGAGAAAATTAACTGTACTCATACAGTTGCTGATCATCATCATCTTTCATGAAAACATACAGGTTGCAGTGAGATATGATAGTGAAACTTTGGTGCCCTTCACAATTCAGAGTGACATAAAAATAGGATGCATTTTAGCAGCAACATTGTTTTGCATCTTCTTTTCAATGTTTGTTGAGCTCTGTATTTAAATAATCTGAATATGTATACTAACATACAAGAAGCAATAGAGACTATTTCACTTGGCACACATGAGGGCAAAGACGAAGATGTGCACCGTCCTTGTCAAAGAAATGTTGTTTTCTGATGACACAGCTCCAAACACGACCTCCAACAACTGATTAGCCAGTTCAAATATATCTATAAGGAAATCAGACTATTACAAAAAAGGCAAAAACATCATCATCAACATGATTCTTGAAATCACAGATCAATTCACATACCTGGGTTCTCCTGTCACCAACATATTGACCTGGAAATTGACAAAATATCATTATCAAAGCAGCACCAGCTAAATGGAGCAAGAGAATATAAGACAACAGTCAATTAACCTTACACATCAAACTAAAAGTATTCAAGCTATGTGCTCTTAGTATTCTGCTTTATGTCAGCAAAACCTGGATAACATATGTCAGACAGGAAAACCTCTTCAAAAGCTTCAATTTCTGCTGTCGATAACATATCTTTGGCTTCACACAAAGGTGCAATTGGTTACATACATTGAATAAATGCCAGCTGTATACCAAAAAACATCACGTAGGGTGTGCTGGCCACAGTACATTGTCTGGTAAGCCACCCTTGCACTATATTTCAAGGACATTTGCAGGAGAGACCTGAAATGATTCCGGTAACTTGGAACCACTGGCAGACAACTGCTGATGCTATACTGTTCAAGGACGAGTCATGAAGGGCAAGGAAAAGTGAAACCAACAGCTTGAGTTCAAAAGAAAATGCAAGAAGCAGAAGGAGCAGTCTCAGACCTTTATTCCACATCCAGGCTTTATCTGCCACATGTGCATTTCAACCAAATAGTGCATCTTGCAAGATAAATGGATATTTTAACTTTGTATTTCTACTTTTTACATTTTACAGCTTTGGTGTCTTTGACACAAATATTATGATTGTATTTCATTTAATGAATATATATATATGTGTGAGTGTGTTTGTGTATTTGTGTAAAAGGTAAAGCAAGAGTGGATTTTTTTCTTCATTCCTCTCAATCATTCATCTTTTTTTTCACCAATGAAGGATGAAATGATGCCGAAATATTTTACCATTGAACTAAAAAGTTGCTTTATGAAGACTGATTTACACTATTTATATTCGGACTATTTTCCTCAACTTTGTTGTTTTTATAACTGAATTTCAGCTGTTGTGCCTTCTGGAGTTCCTCAGGTGTACATCAATCTGGGTAACCAAAAGGGAAATCTGAACTGAACCCTTTATTTAATCTACAGTTGACTATGTTTAGTTCTTATTTTATTCAGTTCAGTTCTTGCTTGCCCACTGAGTTCAAGTACATACTGCTTGACCCAGGGATTGAACTCACAACCACTATGTCACCAAATTCATAAACCAAACCAACACAAACCCACTAGACCATTGTCCCATAGTAAACTTAGAGCTTTAAACCTAAACCTTTAAAACTACTGCCATTACTGCTGGCTGCCATGTTCTCACTGCTGCTTATGTTTTTGATTACTGCTGTTGTCATTTGTCTTTCTTTATTAGCAGCTACCATATTGTATTTATTTCTATGCTAGAAAGGAGGTTCTCATAGCCTAACAAATGCACTGATTTTTTCAGTGTTCTTCCCTGTTCAGTATTTTCATTTATTCCACATGAATGACCACCCCTTTCCCTCCATACATTATCAGCCATGCCCAATTTCATTGTCTCACCTCTCACTGTGGCTTTTCGATGTTCCTCCAGCCTTACTTTTACAGGTGGGCAGCTTATTTCAACATTATATTCTCTGTGACAACTGTAAGGAATCAAGTACATATAGTTCTTGGCCATATTCTCCCCTGTTTTAGGCTTTACTTGGCAGAGATTTCTTCATAGAGTGTAACTGCTTGTGAATACTGTCCTGATGTTGTATGGACCTCATATCTTTTCTGATAATCTACATATGGTAGACAGACAATTTTCTTGTCATCCTCTTTGTCCTTTCTGTTCCCACCTGCTGATATCACATTTGCCAGATAATTGTTATTCTGAAAGGCACATTTGATGCTGATCATTTCTTTTTGCTATATGTCTGGGTTGCCACTTATGATGCTTGTTGCAAGCATCAAGCGATCCCTTTTTTCACACTGTACAGATCGGGAGAATTAAAGTCCAGTGAAGGTTGGTTTGTGATATATGGATGATTTGAACACATTCTCTGTGCGAATAAAAAGAAAACAGCAACCAGCGAGTAAATTCAAGCTCTCCCAGCTGGTATTCCAACTTCGAGTAGTTCCTTCTTGAGTACTGTCTTAAAATTGGACTAACAGACTTTTCTAGCCGCCAACCGTGAATGTCACTCAAAGAACCCCCCCACTGGGAAAAATTAGTTGCTTTTATATTTGTCCATATACCCATAATCCCTTGCGTCTTCATGCGATCCCATAATTCATTGCATCCCTGTCCCATAATGCATTGCATCTTTATTGCATAAAAATGCAATGCAAGTCAACCTCTCATTCTTTTACGTTATCTGGCCGAGGACGGATTACGGCAGAGCGGTAAGTGTTTTTTCTCCCTCATTTCAACTGCAGTAGCTTTACATGCTAAGCAAGTACGGGCTCTTTTTTGGCGGGGACAAGGCAAGTCGCAACCAGTTGTGCTCGTCCCAGGTTCTGTCTCATCATGTCTGCCACAAAGTTATTAGTACATCCAGCTGATTATTATTTTCTTCTTCCATTGTGAATTGGATCAAGGTTCTTATTGAGTTCACATGGCCCACCAGTATTTGTACAGCTTCTTGATGTGCCCAGACTATGAAAGTGTCATCCACATATCTCAGCCATACTGTTGGCTTTAATGGTGCCATTTCTAAAGACATTTCCTCAAAATATTCCATCAGTGGTGACGAGCCTTCCTCCTGTTGGTACATGACAGAGTCTAGTTGAAAGAATGTTGTCTGTACACAGAACATCAACATTTCCATCAGATTTTCCATGGAATGTTAGAATGTTCTCCCAGTGAGGAGTCTGATTCCAACCTGTTTTGAACCACTGTCAGGGCCTCATCTGTAAGAATTCTGGTGAACATGCTTACCACATCCAAGCTTACTATCCTATTGTTATGGATGGGATCCCCTTGAATCAGTATCAGTAAGTGTTCTAAGTTTCTAACATAGGATGAGGACTGTTAGTGGGTTGACTACTATATCCACTATGAATCTATTCAGTGAGTGGCATGCTAAGCCCCTGCAACTGACTATAGGTCTCAATGGAATACCAAATTTGTGAATCTTGGGGAGACCATATATGTGTGTCAGATTGGTGTAACATTGAGTCAGCTGTCTATACTTATTTAGTGCAAAGTAGTCCTTTTTCTTATTTAGGATCTGTGAAAGATTTCTCAGATTTTAGTCAGATCTTGTTTCACTTTGTTATAGCTGCCATTCCCTACTAAGCTTGCCAATTTTTATGAATATTCCAACTTGTCCATCGCTATTGAAGTGTTGCCTTTGTCACTTGGCAGTATGATAATACTAGTGTCAATCTGTAAGGCATTGATTGCCAACCTTTCTTCTTTTATGATATTTGAGTTAGGTATTTTGGCCTTTTCTAGTGTTTGTCTCACATACAAAAAAAATTCTTTTTTTTTTAGGTGTTGCTCATCATGCATTTGAGACTGATGTTAGTGCTTTATTGGAATTAAGACATTTCATGAATTTTCTCCCACCGAGTAACCTGAAATCAGCTCCTATAAGAAAATGCGAAGATCCTCTGTGAGTAGTAAATTTCTTTTTAATTTTTTGAATGGAAAAGTATTTAAGATATCTTTAACATATAGATTAAATTTTGATAGATGATATTATATTCATGTTGGTAGATGTTATATTTGTGAATTGGTAAGAAAAAAGTGTTATTATACACCTAAATAAATTCATTAACCATAGCTAATAGGTGTGTCTGTTATTGCAATTCTTTGGTTAATCAACAGGTGACAGAAATTTCTAAATGATTTCTCTCCCAACAACTACGGAAGTAAGAGAGGGGAAAGAAAGGGGAGGTAAAAAAAAATAACACTGCCTTGGAAACTGCAGTAACTTGAGGAACAAGAATGCCCATGGGACCAACTTCACAAGACACAGCTGATTGCTGGTTTTCTCCCTACTTTTATTGGCATGAGACATCTTACAAAGACCTGGATCTTGACCAGTTGCAGAGAGGCTCGTATATAGACATGCCAAACTGTCCCACTGCTAACGGGAAAAACCTGGATGTGACTGGAGTTAACAAGCATGTTTGCATGTGATCTGAGGTTTCTTTTGCATTTGTACTGACACATGTCCCCCTCCCCGGGTCTCCTGATTACAGGTACACCAGTTTGGAGCAGGTCTGTTTTGTAAAGTGCTTCTCCAAAGTAGGACTGGTTCATGCTCTCTTCCACCTCATCTAATGTAATTCTTCCTCTATGGGAGCATCTGGCCTATCCACACTCACAAGGATTTCATCTGTACTTTTGGGCATATCATTTTCACTACTTGTTGAAGATTGTGAACTCAGTGAAAGACAGAGGTCCCCGACATGGTTGGGTATTCCATCCACTAAGACTGATTGTGGACTAACAATTCCAATAATTTGTCCCTTTCAGAAAGTTGTTGTACACTGGTTATATGGGACCTTTACCTACACAGTCTCACACACAGAAAAACGCGACAGGCCACAATCTGTTAGTGTCAGGTAATGACTACTGCAGTAGTGAGTGATATCAATAAGTACTGTTCACTCCCAGTCCACCTTTTTTCCAATGGACTGGCACAGGATTTCTTGTTGTACTTTCCACACAGGTCCCAATGGCTGATTTGTCACAGAAGGACCAAGTTCCTTCAATGTGCTCAACCTTCTTCACACCACCATCTCGCTCACTACTTTGCCCATGAAGGTGTCAGACAACCAGTGGTACACACATAAGGAATTGGTTTTTATGTGAAGTCTCACCTCACAAAATATCTGGTACACTGTACTCCTGGATGCTCACTATGCTGATGTATTTCCATTATCTGACTGGGACTCATGGTGTTCAGGGAAGCAGCACACACCTGTTGAACAGGTCCAACCCCCTTTTTGGGGTACGTGGGTCCTCTTGTCTGCGAAGTTCTGGTTTGACATGACCAGCATCACATTGACAGACAATTTATATTCTTGGACCAGTTCCTTCAATGTGCTCAACCTTCTTCACACTACCATCTCGCTCACTGCTTTGCCCATGAAGGTGTCAGACAACCAGTGGTACACACATAAGGAATTGGTTTTTATGTGAAGTCTCTTTGCCTGCCACTGGAGGGCCAAATTGAGGTCTTTGAGTGCAGCATCCAGTTCAGCCAAGTTGATATGTTGGATGTCATTTGTTGGCTGAAGCCAGCATGCCTCCTTCAATGTTATTTCATCTTTTTCCAGCACTCCTGTTGCTAGGGAGCTTGCATCAACCCATATGTTCATTTCAGATCTGTTTAGATACCAGTTGCTGTGGGCAGGATCTTCCTGTCACACTCTGTCCCTGGTTTCCTTCACCATGTGCTTGAGGGGGATGTTGTCAACTCGGTCATTCCATCTCTTTATGACTGCATTTGCCTGCCACTTAATGAACACAGTCATCCACACGAGGAGATGTTCCACAATCAACATTCTGCTGAGTCATAACATCAGGGACATTTGGGAACATGCTTCCCTGCATTAATCACAGGGTGTTGTGTTTCTGTGAGACTTCCAGGCCAAGCACACAAGCCCCATTCTTCAAATATTCTGGGTCTTTGCACATCAGCCCATACTGGGCCAATTTTGCCATGACATATTCTGCAGACATGATGCTCTCATTGATATACATATCATTAATGTACTTTGATGTCACTCTGCCAACTGACTCCTCTTGTGACCACATGGTGTCAATAATAGACTTCATGAGTAGAGGTGCCATGTTGATGCCAAATCCCAACTGTTTACCCTTGATCATCACGGTTTGATATGGCCACAATGACTTATGTATGTGTCCTTGAAGATATGATGTTTGCACATCAAGTATGGCCACATTTGCCCATTGTTGGCCAAAAAAATGTCCACATTTAAAGTGAACGCATTAACATGTTTACTGAGCTTGCAATAGTCCATCACAGGGTACACTTTCCTTTCTTGTGCTGCATGTCAGCCTTTGGGTGGCCCCAGTTTCTTTTCAAGGTATGGATTGGTGATCCATGTCTGGAGTTTTTGTTCATAGGCATCCCTGATATCCTTTGAAACAGGGTACTCCAACACCCAGTTGTGTAACTGAGTCAATGCTACATCTGCTGTCTACTTCGATTTTGCAGTTGAGATCCTTTGCTGGTGGTTGGATTCCACATAAAATCAGGTTGGTCAATATGGATTACCATACATGTTGGTGTTTCTTTGCTGCAGAACTGTACGGCTACAGTCTGCATGATATGGATGTCACCTGATGCAGTTATCATATCTATTCTGGCAAGTAAGTCAAACAAAGCCTAGAGGTTTGTCATGCACCACAAGGACTTCAACTTTAGCTGAGTTGCCACTGTATAGATATTAATGGTCCCGACACCACAGCATGTCTGCATTCTGACACCGATTGTTGCTACATCTACATGCTTTCCAGTCCACAACTGTCATTGCTCTGCACAGCTAGAGTCAATGAGAGCTGAACCCCATTCCCCATTTTGATTAATAGGTTGACTACAGGCAGTGCTGTATTTATATCTGAGTGGGGAATGAGACTGACAATGATGTCTATTTCCCTCCTCCATTTCCCGGACATTTTTGTGATATATGGCCTAGTTTGTCACAGCAATAGCACTATATGGCTTTGTCTTCTTGCTGGCTCCCACTTTGCCCATTAACTCAAATATCTAGCTAAGTGATTAGCACTACCTCATCTATGGCAGGTGATATCACTCTGCATATCATTGGCAGAAGTCAAGTCTGTACTCGGTCACTCAGGCTTTGTGACTGCCACATTCAATTCCTGCCACCTGTTTATCACCCTTCAGTATGGCTTTAGCCTGATCTAATAGCTGGTTGACATCTAGTGCATCCATTTGAAAGGAAGCACAAGGTAATCTTCTGTCATGCTCAGGCAACCCTGCTATGAATGTACATGCAAGTCCACAGTCAGACACCCATCTGCTCTGCAAATTAGATGTCTACAGATTCATTTGAATTCAAGTGCCTAGCTACGAAGTAGTCATGTTATGAATCGATTTGTAGTAAAGGCATCTCTAATACAGCCTACATCTTTTTTCTTTCTGGCTGAGTTGTTTTTCTTTCTTGCACCTCTCATCAATTGAAATGCCAGAACACTAGCAATGTTCCTCACTAACACATGTTCACCTCAGAATGTGAACTCAATCAATTTAATGAACCATATAACAAAACTTATCCAAATTCTGATGAATAGTGCACACAGCAGAATTAGACCAGAAATAGGACAATAACACTGGCTTTGTTAAAAACACTGGAAAAAATGTGATATTTATGCTCAGAATAATATCAGAAAGAGCAATACAAATACAAAAGATTGTATACATATATTTTATAGATTATGCAAAAGCATTTGATAAAGTACATCACAAAGAACTGTTGGAATTGCTAGGTAACCTTGACATATTTTGGAAGGTTATTACAATAATCCAGAACCTATACTAGCAGCAAACTACCTGCATATGAATAGAAAATAATATTTCAGTAAATATACAAAAATAAAAAGTGGTGTAAGACAAGGATGTGTCTTCTTACTGGACTTATTTAAAATACAGTGACGTGATTCTGAGACATATGAAGACCTACCAGGATTCATTATTGGGGGAGAATATCTTAACAATATAAGATATAGAGATGACACAATGTTGATAGCAGACACAGAAAAGAAACTACAAGAACTCCTACAGGAGGTAGTGAAGGAAAGCAAAAAGAAAGGATTAAACATCAACTGCAAGAAGACTGAATGCATGCTTGTTAGCAAAAGGAACAGCCGAACATCCAATTACAAAATGGAGATACCAAAATCAAACAAGTACAACAATTTAGATATCTGAGAAGTGTTCTATCAGAGGATGGAAAAGTGTGACACTGAAATTCAAAAGTACATTGGGATAGCAAAAGATTCCTACCAAAAGCTAAGCTAAGTAATAAAGAACAGGAAAGTTTCATTAGAAACAAACAAAAGAATACTGAATTATTATGTAACACCAGTCCTCTTATATGTTAGTGAATGCTGGACAATCTTCTCACAAATTGAAGAAGAGACCTGAAGCAACAGAAATCAGGAGGATGCTGAGAATACCATAAATCAAACATGTGAGCAATAATGAAGTTTTAGAGAAAATGGAAACAAAACAAGGATCTTTATACTTAACATCAGAAATTGAGTGGTGAAATTTCTAGAGCACATGATGAGGAAAGAGGGTTTGGAAAATTTGATACTCAAAGGATAGATTGAAGGCAAGAGGGACAGAGGAAACAATGTGTAACCTACCTAGTGAGCGTGAGTAAATGGATGACTTAGGAGAGATAACAAAAAGACAAAATTTATTAATAGCCCCAAGGGACAGGAAATTGTGGAGAGCCATGATTACTAACATCCTGAAAGTATATGGCATATAGAAAAAGAAGATTAAAAGCTGATCAAATTACATTGATATGTAAAATTTCATAATTTATATTTCTTTCAAATCTTATTCAAAATGTTCAGATACATCCACTTAAATAGTTTGAAATGTGAATTCAGTTCTAAGAAAACTAGATAAGACCAACTACTTCATTATGCAACAATCTAGCGAATTTTCTACTCTTTAATAATTAGTTAGAACTTTTTGTTTTTTAATTTAAAAATGTTAGCTTTTTCTGCATTCTTTGCTTTAAGTGCTAATTTAATTTCATCTTGTTGGCTGCTTTTATAACAATCATAGCACTTGCTTCTTATATTTCAGGAAGTCTTAGTGAGATCCAAGCTTATGACCAATGCAGTAAATTATGAATAAATATTATCAAATATATTATATTATATTATATTATATAATTATTATTATAATATGAATTATAAATGAAAGTGACAAAGAATTAGTAATGGAAGGCAAAATTGTACATTTTAAATATTTTTATTTTAAAGACACAGGTTAGTACCTGGTTTGGATACAGTTGTACCTTTGGAATCCACTGCTGCTTATGATATGAAAGATGTTATTCTTGGAGTAAGTTATTATTTTTAATTTGGACCTTTTATTTTAAAAATTAAATTGGATGTAATTATTATTATTCCAAGAGTTCTTCAAATGAATGAATTGATACTTTTTGTTGCTTTTGTTACCACAATGTTTTGCATGTTCTTCTGTGTTCAAGTATATAATACATTTAAAATCAGTATCATTTTTTAAGTTTTTCCAAAGTTAAAGAAAATATAACACATTGCTAAGATGTGAGAAGGTGCTGATTTTCATACTATTTACTATTTGTCATATTCATGGATGCAATCAAGCAACATTATTCTATTTAACATTACTTCATTCTTATTGAATACAACTCTTATATCAGTTTCTCAACAAAAAACTTTAAAAAAATTCCCCATGATTTATTCATACAATATCTTGTGATGAAACAATTGTAAAATAATATAAAATATCTAAAATCCCATGAAATGAAAAATACCCTTCCCCTTTGTTCACACCAACTTGTTTGGCCACTATATCCCACAGGAATCACTTCTTCCAGGTTAGTGCATAATAGTTGCACTCACAACAGAGGTCTATTTGTGCCTGTTTGTAATAGTTGCAAAGATGTCATCAAAGAGCTAAGTCTTTGTTTTCTGAGAGAATGAGGTACCGTATAGCCTCTAACAGGTTCAGCTATGTAATAGTGTGTTAAAATAAGAATAAGTATTCTATGCCTCACCTCTTCACTCAGTTTGTGGTGTTAACACCTACTGATAAAGCAGGATGTCTGTCTCATAAATTCTCTTCAAATTCTGCTTTTGACTCATTTGGAGTATCTTTTCCTGACTTTTCACTTAGAATTGAATCCTTGTCCATGGTTTCTGCTATCATTTTTAAACTGAATCTCCTAGAAGCATGTGGGCTTGATAAGATCCCTGCAATAGTCTTTAAGAAATGTGCTCCTGAATTGGCTCCTGTTCTCTCTAAATTCTACAAAATTCTCTCTAAATTCTGCCTTGTTGCTTCTTGCTGGAGATCCTATTCTGTAGTTCCAGTCTTTAAAACATCAGGCAAACCATCTGATCCTTCTAATGGCATATTAGCTTTCTACTGCTTTTTGCCAGAGTACTAGAGTCTCTAATCAACTGTGAATTGGTTAAGCATCTCACCTCACAGGCTCTTCTTTCAGATAAGCAATATGGCTTTTGCTTCTCTAGGTCAGCTACTGAAGCATTAATGATTATTGCTGAAAGTTTATCAAATTCTATATAAGGATGGAGAAACTCAAGCTGTTGCTCTGGATATCTCAGAGGCATTTGACAGAGTTTGGTATGCTGTTCTTCTTTACAATTTGAAAGGTTACAGCATTTCTGGACAAATTTTCAAACTGATTTAGTCTTTCTTATCAAATTGTGAAATGAAATTTGTCTTAAATGGCCACTCTTCTGGATCTTTTTGCATTAATGCAGGTGTGTCCGAGGGCTCTAGCCTTACATCTACATCATTCCTAACTTTTCATCAACTACCGTCCTGATGGCATCAGTTCTCTATGCTGATGACATAACTATTTTCTCATGTCTTAATATTGGCTCCTGATCTCAAAAAATACTTATATTCTGTTGTTAACTTGACCAAGGAATGGCTTGTTAATTTTAACACTTCCAAAATAAAACTGCTCTTTATTGTCTGAGAACCATTTCTGCTTTACATCAGCATGGCTTGGCTAATGCTAACCTCCATGAGTGACTCATTGTGCTTTTTCAGACTAATGTTTTCTGCTGACATGAAGTGGAAAAATTATATTGAATCAGTTGCTAGGTCTGCTGCTAAGAAAGTTGGTTCACCATGTCATGCTCGACAATTTTTCTCACCCAAATCTATTTTAAATATTTACAAGTCTACCATTCATCCTTGCATAGAATATTGCTGCCACATATGGTCTAGTTCTCCTATTTAGAGATTCTTAATAAAATCCAAAGAATATTATTGTTCCTGACATGATACCTTGGTTTCAGTCCCTTTCTCACAGCCTTAATGTAGCTTCTATGTACCTTTTCTATAAATACTTACATGGTAAATGTTCTGATAAACTCTCCTCTGTGGTACCTATACTCTGATTTCAAGCACAGAACTAGATTGGTGGCAAGATCCCATCATTTTACAGTGGAAATGGCTAGATGTAACTATAAGTTCTATGCTAGTTTCTTTTCTTTCGCTTTTGGTACTCTCTTCTGTCCTTTTGCATTCCAGTCAAGTTTGATCTTCAAAAATTTAAATACAATGTCAATCATCATCTTCTGCCTATTAAATTTCTGTTTTTTTATTGTTTGCTCACATCCTCAATGGATGACTCCAGCAAGGGTGCATCTTTGACATTGTTCGGCCTCAGCTGTGGGTATTGTATCAATTCCTTTCAGTCCAACTTGGTACCGATGGATCATATTGGCTCGGGCAGTCAGTGGTGCCACATCATTTTGGGTGTGACCTTGTACCAATAAACTGTTTTCTTTTTTTTGTTTTTTCAATGTGATCTGTTTTATACTTCAGTAGCATTAATCTGTGATTCCATTCTCCGAGGAGACATGTGAACAGTAGAACTGAGGATGGATTCCCCATTTATTTAGGAAGTCCCTAAAGAGCTTACTACAAAATGCTGTATCATTGTCAACAAGTATCTCAGTTGGTGGGCTGTGCTTCCAGGTGGTCAATGATACTTGCAAACCACATAGACCCAAAGTCAATGAGTGACAGGTAATTTCTGCCCTTGTAGTGGATTATGTCCATCCCTACTTGACACCACATGCTGCTGACATCCAATTTACCTTTAACCCAACATGTAGGTAGCAGATTAAACAAATGCCACATTTTCCACTTCTTCACTACTGCTTTCACTGATGCCTTAAAGACTGTGGGATCAACCTTCCTGACAAGATGACCACTTCGTTTATGAATAGACATTATTTGGTTGGAGTCAAACTTGTTTGTTGATGCAGCACAAATTAGTTTTGGGGCTCAGCTGGCTTTTTGATTGAATCAAGCCATTGATGCAGCACTCTCATCAGACCATCTGCTCAGTTATGGTCAGACCACACCAGGGTTATGTCCACCAACAACCCATACTCTTCAATCAGTTTTGTGAGCATGCTGAATTGTCATCTAACAAGCATTTTGCTTTATGCCTTATTTGTGAGGGTGGCTGTGATCCATTTATACACACAAGCAGAGCCTGTGAAAATGGAAAACATTGTTGCTTCCCATATCGATGCCATATTAACACCTTTTAATATGTTATCAAGCTCTGCTAAATTTATGTGCTGTATGTTTTTTTCTTTGCACAATCAACTCCCATCCTCCAAAAGTTGCTCCATTATGCTCCAGCGAGACTCGAGTCACAACAGAGCTTGCACCAACTGAAGATCTCAGGTCCATCAACACATGATTTGCCTCACACGGGATCTTCTTGGGGCACTCCTGCAAGGACTTCTTTTATCATTGCAGTTAGAGGAGCATCATCTACCTTGTCATCCCAACTGGTTGTAACTGCTGCTGCTCTCCTTTTAATGAATGCTGCTGTTACTCTAAGCCATCCACCCACTGGAATGTGCCCAACCAGCTTTCCGCATAGTGAGAACACACTACATCGAGTTAAAATGTGAGGTATGCTGGGGACCTTGTTCCCTCGTTTACATCGGAGCATTTTGTACACCTCCAGACTTGCAAACTCACCCTGTCCGCTGGGGCTGTAAAATCACCGACTGCACCTCTGCAGAGGGGTAAAACCCTCACCTCCAATGGGGCTACCTGTTGGCCATGGGTCACCACCCATACGGTGCTAGGACAGTGTTATGGGATCTTACCCATAATAATAATAATAATGGACTATTCCATACTTATTAAATACTGCGCCTCAGGAGTAAGCAAGGAGTCAGTAGTTCAAGTCGAGTCAGTAGTTCAAGTCAAGTCAAGAGTCGAGTCAGAGGCAGCCTGAAACAGTCGCGTTCAGACAATTACTGCAAGACATTGGAATAGTGATACTGGTCGAGACTACATTGTTCTCTCTACTAAACCTGATTGTTCATACTAACACTTCTACTTCTCTGTATATATTCCTTTGTAATATATCTGTGTTATTCCATACCTGTGTTAGAGTTCTTCTTTATTGGTTCTCCCTTTTACTATCACCGTGGTACAAGGAACCAGACCATAACAAGTGGCAATGAAGATTCGAATTCATTCGGTGGGGAAAAAAAAAAAAAAAAAAATTCATTCGCCACAGTATAACAAGTGGTGACGAAGAAACCAACTCTCAACACGGAGGACAAACCTTTCTTTTTTGCTATCCATCGCGCATAACAAGTGGTGACGTGGAGACCCTAAAAGGGTAATACGAAAATTTCTTTTTTTGATATCAAATTTTAACTGACAACAAAGGAAAGTTTTGTTTTTTTTTTTGTTGCGTGCACAGGCTACAGAATATCAGGTTACACAAAAAAAAAAAATACGTTAACATGGAAGATTTTAAGTCAACCATTATGGAACTTATCAAAATCCAATTTGAACAACAACAAAGGTACGAACAGTAACATCTGGAATTGCAAGAATTATTGTTACGTGCAATGACAAATAAGGAGCAAAAATCCGAGAACAAAACAGTTCTCTCACAAGACACTATTTGGAGTAATATCGAAGATTTCAAGTATGCACCTGACGAAGATAAAACTTTTGCAAATTACTTCCGAAGGTACGAAGATCTACATGATTTTGACTGCAAAGATTGGTCAGATGCACGTAAAGTACACCTATTACTAAGAAAATTAGGCACAGGCGAATATACCAAATTCGTAGATTATATCCTTCCCAGAAAAACAAGCGAGTTAACGTTCAAAGAATCCATAAAACTGCCAACGGAATTTTTCAGCCATAATACTTCACTATTCCATAAAAGATGGAAATACTTGAACCTTACAAAAACGGACAGTGAAGATTACATAACTTTCGCATCCATTGTTAACAAATATTGTGACACCTTCAAATTATCGGAA